TATCCTTTTACTTCATTGATTGAATAATGAATAGTACAAACAATTTTTATAAAAAAACAGTTAATCAAAAGAGTATCTTGTGATACAACCAAACGGGAGGAATTTATCCACCTTCTCAGACCGTCCCATTTCAACTCTACAGGGGGATCGAAATACTTTGTTTCTGGCATTATCATTGCCAAAAGGTGAGAAACGAGCAAACTTTTGATGGACTTAATTACTCCACTTCTTAGCCTCGCACGATGATAGTTACGAATGAACCCTGGCAGATGTCTATTAATGCGAATAATATACCTTGTTCCACTGTAACAAGGGGAAAAATAGCAACAGACATAGAAAAAGCAGAATCAGACAGTCCTTTCTTGTGAAATGCCTCGTTTCTTTACATGACAGAAATCACCAAGCGCTTCTGATATACATTTGAACAAAGATATCTCACAGTTCATCAACCAATAGACCCCCATACAGATCTATTCAGTCTTGTTGGCTAAATAAAGAATGAGTTGCTTGTTCATACTGATCGGTGCAATGCAACGGAAGTGAATATACTGCTGTTTATTCCACGTCACCTCCCTGTGTACTGACCACTTGATCTACCCGTAGTCATGACGAGTTAGATTGACATCTAGGTCGGCTACTTAACCAATTGTATTCCATTCAATTTTGAGTTATACAGTATGGGGTTTACATTTGAAGTGAACCCTTTTCTATTTTTAGATATTTAAATATTCCCAAACAGGGATTCCAGCATGAACCTTCTGTCTCCAACGTCCTTTTGGCGACAGATTTCATTGTTTAACTATAATTTCACATTGGGGTGAGGAGAATAGCATTTGTTCTAGTCACTCGGCGGTAGACTTATGTCAACCTCGCTGCTATCGATANNNNGAAGCACATATTTCTTTGTCTCGCCGATTGGAACATTCACGAATGACGATACGACATTCAGCGAAATCCTATTTTATTTGAACGACACATGGTGGCAATGAAACCTAGAGTGGAACCTCGACGCTTTTCTGAGTCATTTTCATCCTCCCGGTTTCAGATGACAAGCCAAACAATTGACAATAGACTGATAGAGAGAATTTTACTTGTTCAGAATCGGCCTGAGGAGAACTACACTCTTGTGTAATATGGGTAACCCATGCAATCGCGGACGAACCCGTTCAAACGTGGTGGCATTTAAAAAGCCCTCTTGTTTAAACTCTTTCTTTGTAATGGGCCGTCTTTATTCGTGAGTTATTGTCGTTTTCATGACATACTTTTATGAATTTCGTGAGTTAGTTGCACGCATAATCACGTTAACCAAACGCTCGGTGACTAAATGAAACAAGAAATACGTATACGATTTCATCACAAAATAGTGCAGTTCAGTTCCAACTAGTTAGATTAGTAAATAGGGATATCTTGGAAGTGAACACGACTCTTGATCAACGGCCTTTCCGTAAACAACTTAATTTACTTGTTACATTCCCTGGAATTTCCATCTGCAGATCACGTTGTTCTTCATTCCTTTCGCCATCTCCAACATATTTGGTTTTACATGATGAATTCGTGGTGTAAATGAGGAGTGAGCTGAATAGCTGGGAAGAACTGGATGGCTGTTTCGACCTGGTTGGGTTTCATCAGCAAGCTAATCGATCGACCCAACTGACGGGTTGTGCTATATCGTGTAAACTCAAAATAAGAAACGATCTGATCAGCTTCCCGGTGGCCGAGTGGGTTGTATGCTTGCGTTCTACCTGTGAGGTCCCGAGTTCGATCCTCATTTGGGTCGACGGATTTGCACTGGTGGTGAGGCCCAACCAGGTCGAAACAGCTGTGCAGTGCTTACCAGCTTTACTGCTCACACCCGATTAACACGACGAATTCATCACGTAAACAAATCAAATCCCCCATTAATCTCATGCAACAAATAATCAAGTGAAAGTTTCCAACACAATTAGAACTAGATAAGATAATTTCGTTAACCGTATTTGTTCTCTGCCGTGTGCATTCAAATAGCACAATCCAGCTAACTAGCACAAATAGCGGAATGCAGTGATCGAAACGTCGCTCAAAAACGTGTTGCAATATTGCATTAGGAAAAGGAAACCAACAATTCGACTTGCCGCAAATGACAATAATTCACATTCAAAGTGACATCAAGGAAAAAACGTGGTAATAAATATCAAAAATCGAACACCTGGTACATTCAGAATGCATTAGCGCTCTAAAAATAATAGCGGTGTATCTTGGAGATTGCAGTCGCATCTGTGTGTCGTGGAAGATTTGATTCGATTACATGGTGAATTTCGTTGAGTATAGAGCAAGGATAGAAACGTACACAATTGAATCATAACCATAGGGCAAATTGCTGAAATGAGCGAGGTATGATGCCCGAAAACAGCTAGTAAAGATGGGTTGCGTTATAGGCCAAGTGAAAATCATTCTGGTCAAGTTTATAGTGTGCCTGCTTACTACCTGTGAGGTTCGGGGTTCGGTCCTCACTTGGGTGGATGAATATTTTTCCACCGCTGATGAGACCCAACCAGGTCTAAATAGCTGTCAAGTGCTCCCTAGCTTTTTAGCTCACGCCTCGTTTGCTTTGAATATGATGAAATTCATTATATAATCTTCTCTTTCCCGAAGTACAGTTGCATCAGGTATAGTGGTCACCAAAATTAAAGAAATTTTTCTAATGTAACTATTCATGAGACATTTTCACCAAAGACACGTATCAATTAATGTGAAGCGCAACGGATTATAGACGTGTGACGGTTGCGGTCCTGTGCATTAACCGGAATAGATCTCAACTCCCAAATCTCCGAGGAGCAAGTTGCTTCGTAAGATAAAGAAGATACGTATTAGGCGCAACAGACAAACGAAGTTCACTTCTTCAAGTTTCCATCATTTCAATTATTTTAGGCATATATCAAAATGTCGAGCACTGTAAAGCCATAACCGAGAACTGGGGAAATTCATCGTTGTTCTGAAGTTGTGTTTTACGATTGAGTGTGAGCTCCTATGGTGTTGTGGAGGTGTCGGGTTTTACGTACGTGGATGTATAGATAATAGTCACAAATATATTATATTGAAGCTACCGAATGATAAACAAAAATGCAGCCTAATGCTCAACCCGGTGGAAATTCCTACTGACATTCCGTTTGCCCCACTAAGATTTGAGAACAAAGCCATAACAAATATAAACGGAACGAAACAACCAGTTTTCTAAGCGTAAGAAGGTTCACTTAATGCATGATTGACAAAACGCCCCAACATAAGTTTCGTCCATTTCCTCTGTATCAAATTATTGTTTCCCGGAAATTAAAACGTGTAAATGAATGTAACCGAATCGGAGACCTGTGCGCGCACGTGATACTCCCAATCTTCCCATTTGCTTTCACTTAGTCGACTAAAAACAAAATGACTTCACATCATCGATTTATACCATGGTGTCAAATGATTTTCAAGTCCTCACCACACCAAGTCAAATGATTCAAGTTGAAATCTCATCAACATCATCATCATCATCATCATCATCACCACCATCACCAACAGCGGACAGATTCGTCCGGAAATAATGTCTCAGCAATTCATATTTCGGAGCCAATCATCTGCAAACAACAGCTATACTATACATTTTCAACTTAAACTGAATCCGTTGTACCTTCAATTGAATCCAACCAATCGCATTCTACCAGGAACCCCACACAGCAATTGGTTCTTCTGCCGCCGTATGTCACCGATTGGACCGGGCCTATGAAAACCCCGTCCAGTCGGAGTGAACTGATTGCTCCGTAGACAAACAAAAGTATTTTTGAGTGAGTTACTGAGCGAGGAAGAAAGTTTCAGTGTTGTGAGTTTTGATTGCTCGCCCCCCCCCTCCCACTCCACCAGGGCACGTTTTGTCCTTGACCGTTGATCATGTGAACTTAAGACAATAATGAACAAACCCGGTGGTAATAGGCCTCAGTCGGCCGATTAAGGAAGTGAATCAGGTCAAAATGGATCCATAATTCGGTTATCATGCTCAGGCGTGAATGTTGGAATAAATCATTGCATGAGTGGGTTCGGTGTAGACCCTCAGTAGCCTAGTGAGTAAAGTTCACTGACGCAGAGGTCCCCTCGAATAACACTGATTGCTTTGAGCCACATGTAATGGCCCTCATGTTTCTGCTCATTGAGCGGCACAGCTGAGAAATTACTTAAAATGAAATAATTAACAGTAACTCACCTGAATATCAACATTAAATTTGAACTCATTCACTAGCAGACATTTTTTTCTCTGTAACTCCCGGGATGAATGTTGCGTTCTGTTCACAATACCAATGAAAACAACATGTCACCTTCTACTTCTCCCTTTGTTCGTCGCATATCATATTATCCCGAAGACATCATGTATCATCCGCGTCGCATTTTTTCACAGTCTGATTACATCTATGAGATCTTTACAGTTCAATGAGTGGAATAAGTGGTGGTAAGAACAACTCACAGTTATCCTGATTCTACAAAGGATGATTGGTTTGTACCGGGTGCTTCAAGGGATACTCGGTATTTCTTACCATCGCTTCTTTATATAAGATGAGCTTAGCGTCCGGAAGCAGTGGGAGATTTTATGTGTATGTTCGGTGCAGCATAATGCTGCGTCTGTGAGCGGCGGATTGGGAAAAAGTTCAATCTTATGGCAGATGTCTTTATGTAATATATTTCTGGAATGCTAGGATTCTAGGAATGAGGCAACCGTGGGTGGAATACTGTGCTTACTTTATTAGATTCCTGGTGGACTGCTATTGGCTGGATTTACTTGAAGTTGCAACGGATTCAGTTGAAGTCAAAAAGGTATAGACTCCCAATATCAACACATGATTCCGGGAAATGGAACACGGAAATAGGGGATTACATTATCCGAAAATTAAAAAGAGACATTCTAATAAAATCCACTCGGAAAATTAACAAAAAATTACTTCGTATGGAGAAATATAATGTTCGAAGCAGTCATACGTGAGTTCTTAACTTACCACGAACATCTAATTCATGTTGCCATGGTGGGACAAAGCGAATTTCAACAAACTGTGCAGTCTGATTGACAGGACCAACCTCAAATAACAATTCCAGATGTTTCTTTGGCACCTCATTCGAATCTAATTCACCCGGTCGTGTGAACAGTAAAAACAAACGACCAACCGATCCGAGCCACTCTCCACCACGTTCGAGCACAAATTGGGCATCCAGACCACGAAAACGATTCACGCACAAATTTATCTGGATTGGCAACAGTTCCGAGGAGTTGTTAACCAGCATCACTCGACTGCTTGCGCTCAGACCGAGCAGTGTGTCAATGTAAGTTGGAGTCTGCGAGAACAGTGTCATTTGCGAGTGGTTGATGCCGCTTGGAATGGTTTCTCCATCCAGAATGGCATAATGATCCCGCCTGCCAAACACACATATACAAACAGAGAGACGAAACATATGAGGTTCAATCAATAAGGACAGCGCTGGTTTGCTCACTACGATTAGGGAAACGGGTTTCAATAAACCTTGATGTGCAAAGAACTGTATTACACTGGGAACCCCGTGGATTGGAAATACATCATACTTCGACTTCGATTCACTTGATATCGATAATATTTGAGGTGATAGTACGTCACTCGTTATTGGCTTCAGTTTCTCGTGATATGTCAAAGAGAAGGGCAAAGATTGACGTGCATATGTGTTCACTGGTCGTTTCGGTTAATAGTCACCATCTGCAGGTGTAATCGAAAATCTCCCAGAGCGTATTTTAACCAGTTTTGTGAGCCAATCATTGAATCCACACTGCGTTACATATTCCGCACCATTGTGAATGAGGAAGTGATAGTTCTTATTGTTTGGATTCATTATTTATGACCTAGTGGAATATAATAAAGCCATGGGGACCTCTCCATCGTGTTGCACTTTCATCAAGGAACTTCATGTAACTATTCAGTAAAAACGTCAAAGGTCAGACTAAGGGATAATGTGACCACACAGGAGGTCCGCCTGAATAGATGATTTAACTGATTCACGATTGGTTATCTGGTGGACGAAAAGAAAAAACAGTTTAAATGTTATTATCCGCATTTGGGGTTAGTAGAGGTGTACAGGATCTTCGATGGTCATACTGAGGGAGTAATTGAAACAGGTCGCTAACAGCGTCTTGACTACGACACATCTTTCCGCATCAAACTGTTCTTTGTTATTACCTCAATAAACCGCAAGCAAATCATTTTGTGTTGAATTGTTACACGCGGAAAAATATTCAACCAGGCAGCTGTGAAAATCGGCTTTACACAAGTTCTCAAAACATTGCAACATTTTCTTAGTTAGATAGATAGCACATACCATGTGCGTACGAAAATTCAGTTTTCTATCAGTACGTTGGGGAGATTATTTTCTGACACGCGACACTAGTATTGGTGAAGCACTACTGCTTTGCATCCAGCTGAGGGCCTAATTGCTCAGCATATAGGGAATACATGATTCAAGTCCTGCCGTGCCTCATTCAATCGGATCTTATTGCGTTTGATTTGTTCGTCATCCATAGCATTTTCCCATTCATATGCAAAACTTGTTTCCTACCTCCGTCCAAATGGATTGCATTCAAACACACTCCGGGAATGTTTAGTTTCCATTTCAACGAGAGCGCGAGCGTGTGAGATAGGGAAAATAAACACAGAGAAGGAGTTTTGAGGCGAACAAGTTGAGGCAAAATTAAATTTCCCTAGGCTAATTGAGTTTCACTGTATGGTCAACATGATTGATTGAAACAACTTCCTGAGATGTTCCGCGGCGCTGTACTCGTTAACTTCTCGGTCGAGTAACCTGAACAGTGCTATTGTAGAAATTCTGCAAGCAAAATCGGGGTTCATGAAGTCCGTGGATAGGTATTGCACATACAAGCAGATTGAGGAAAACTAACATTGTTTGCGAGGCAGAATACATTTTATCAATCAGATGTTTTGTAAAGCTTGTCAATGATTTTTCGTACTCAGTATCTCGGCAGAACACGAGGTGAGTAGAGTCACAGGCTATTGTTAAAAACCACAAAGGAATATCAAATTAAAGAAGTTATTATCATGATACTTTTCTCTGTGTGAGGAAAACAAAACTTTGAAGTGAAATTCCGGAAAGCAACGTTCGGTTGTTTTCACTTTGAAAAATATAGTTTCTAAAACTTGAAACTGAAAAGAGAGAACGGAAACGTGAAATCCCACAATTTAGGTCAAAGTGGATTTCGTAGCTCTACTGGAAGAAAAGGGTAGAACACAAGAATTAATTTAATTATACAACGGTTCATCAGGTATGGGTATTGTGAACGAGATGATGGACAATGCAGAACACCAGATACACTAGCAAACTGCACCATCGATAACACAATACACGTTCTGGGTCATGTATGCTAACACCAATATACAGCTTCTGAGGTTCCCGAAATTTTTCGCAATTAGAGGACAGAAACCGGTCTGTGCATGCAACCAGAACTGTAGTTTTTATAACCACCGCCTTGGTTGTGTTAAAAGATACGAATACTGAATCCTGTCGTATTTATCGTAATTGATAAGCCGTTAGACGATATGAAACAGGGGTTTCATCATTGTCAGAGCTCATCATCAGTGACATCTTGTGGATTCAACTGAGTGTCCAAACCGGGAAATAATAGGTGGATCACGATCTCAGTTATCTTTAAATGGAATGAGCCACTTGGTGCGTTGCTACGGACGACCGTTAAGAGGCATGGTTTCCGATACTAAAAGCTGATGAATATAGATGTGACTTGTGCGTTATATGAAACTTGTGCAGAGTTGCGTATTTGCCGATCACTGGAGATTTTCGGTGCGCATGATAACAGCTTTCACAAGTGACCTTAAACGAGATAATTTCTCACTTGGACGACTCAGCCAACCAACGCAATATCTTTCTGGGTGTACATGTACGCTCAAGTGGGCGCAAATACGTCCACGATCGGGAGTCGCACGCATCCGTTCCTACGACACTTATGCGTGTGAGTGGGGTTATCTGAGGTCATTCTATAGCACTTGAACGGTAATAATTTTCTCTTGTATTTGCATCCTTTCCGTGGATCATGCGACTTTCGCACCCAGAGGCTTAGAGCTTTTTCGAAAATCTTGTGTTTGCGTACTTCACCTAATACCCGTCGTTTAGGTGTGACTTTCGGTCACCGAGTCCTGTGCAGATTTCGTTAGTGCGGTTTGGCTAGTTGGTCAGAGTGGTATCTTTCCGTTGATGTTATCTGATCCGGGCTTTTAATTATTCACATCTCTAACGTACTTATTCTGTAACGTAAATGGAATTACTTTGACTACGGTGGTAAACGAGGCCATTTCACTTTTATCAATTGATCCTGAGAGATGTTTTATGTTTGCAAGAAAACCGTAGATAATTCTCTTTTCAATAATCTTCTGCGATAGACCCGGGCGTGTTCAATTTGTACGGAATCCATTGTCAATCGACTAGACTTTCTCGTCATTGATTTGCGTGGTTGATTTGAATTCTGATTGTTCAAGTTTTTGAAACTTTGATATCTCGAAACCCTCAACGTAGGTTTCTTGATTTATCGTCCAGTCTATTTTGTGGCTACAGAAATGTCTGTCCGGTTCAAAATACGAGTATCTATTAGAGTAGTTTGATTATTTTGGAACTGATTGCCCGAACATTGCTACATTTTGAACTACAATCCCTATGATAAATGCACACCACACCGGGTTTTCTCTCTATAATGAATGAGAATTAGTTACACTGATTTCTTAGACAACAACGAAAGTCTTGCTAGTGCTCTGGTCAAAGCTCGTGACGTCAGCAGCTCCGTGCTTCCGGCATTGCCATGAGTAGTTTCNTTTTCAATGAACAACGCTGGGGTATCAGATTTGCAATCCAACTCTACGGCATATTCACGGTTCAGTTCTCGTGATACAGTGAACGCAAACAACGAAGGCAAAACTATCATGGCAAATGTTATCGTCGTTGTTTACCTTTACAAAGCTGACATTCATTAAATATTGATAAAAGTCTTTTATTTCCTCCTTTATTCATTGAATACACAAATGTACCGTATGGCCGCGGCCATACAAAGGCTGCCTGGAAAAATACAGATACGGGAAAGGTGGTCGGCTATGAAGCGGTTCGAACCCATGACTCTGTGTCACAATTTGGTGACCTAACCACTTTGCCACCACCGCGATAGTTTACCACCAATACTATCGAAGTTTCCGTCTTCCCATTCCTCATTGTTATCTGTTGTCTGGATTAAAAAACGCACACATGAATCAGAATTAACAGTTTAGTTCATTTCTGGAGATCGAAATTAACACAGCTCCACTTCCACCCTGTGTGAGCCAGCGTGGATGGTGCTTTTCGATCCGTTGAGCTAACTGTCTTGTCGTTCAACCGACATAAGTCACATCATAGTTGCACTTGAATTGATAGACAATCATAGATGAGATCAACATAGGCAGTTTATCTTTGTTGTAGCATCGGATGTTTGGTGACGTAGAGAACACGCATCTTAGCTGAGCGGCGTTAAATGTGGAAGTTTTAGAAAAGGCATTTTGTTCCCTTTTTGGTATCTCTGTAGACTCATTCTGTTCAGTCCAATTACCATCGATAAACTTCTCAAGATAGCCATTTTCCAGTAAAGTTCTCCTTACTAGTTCAAGTTCGTCCTTTAAGGTATCTTCTGAGCAGCTGCTCCTTGCTCTCTGCATGAGAGTGAGTACAAAACCATGTTTAAGATAGAGTGGGATGAGGCTATGCAAATATGTGTACTTTCCACTTCATGTTGCTTTTCTATATACGTTTCTTTGGTTAGAGCTATTGGGGCGTCTAATCAAATGGATATCCGGAAACGAAAGGCATTCATTCTCTCCTGGCTAAGTTGTGAACTTAATTGACGCTGTCTGATTAGCGATTTGCATCTGACTCATGAGGCCTGAACTGTGCGCACAACGCAACTTGATTCAAAATCTCAAGCTCTCTTTGGCCAAGGAAAGAGAAAATCGCTTTTGCACATAACCGTGACGTAGCACACCGATTTTGGTTACATGACCCAAATAGCGTACAAATTTAAACTTCTCCCGAGGACATTGCCAAACATCCATCTTTCTGTTTGACCCAATTGAAATTGTTTCATATAGATGAGATTGTAAAGGCCTGAAAAGGAATTCACCGAAAACATGTTCATCTACATTGTGTGTTCTTGATCAATGAACATATTTCGTGATGTGTTGAAAGAAGTTTTGAGCTTCAGCGGTGTCTAGTTTTATGAAACTGATGAAATGGGAAGTGTGGACTTCAACTCGGCAAAGATTGTCCTGACTTACACCGTGCAGGAGTGGTTTGGAAATGCACCTTTCTAGTATTACCAATCTACTTGTAGGAAGAAACAACGAAAAACTTGCCTTTCGAGTTTATAATATGATTTTGGTGATTGGCATTCAAAAAGTATTCCTAGCTGATATCGGTTTTTCCCCTTGCAGTGTGGTCAAAGTCATGTCTTCTTGTTGACAATAGGCAATCCCATGTGAACGAAAGCAAGCAATAAAATCGGAAGCATTTTCGGCCTCAGAAAGTTCACGTTCACTAAACCATTTAGGGTTTCGGCCTGATCCGCTTCCACTACGGTTCACCATCTGAGATTCTCCTGAGAATGGGGATCGATTCATTGATCCAGTTTGTCGCTACTTCTTCTCGCACCCGCTGGATCGAGGTCAGTCACTGTCTATAGTTTGTTCATTCTGTTTAAGCTGACCACAATCCACGCTCGACCGCATAACGTTCCAGGGGAGGTATAGTCATACTCTACTGTAGCACTTTGGAAAAGCAGTTAGTGTTTATGGAGTATTTGTTTTATTTTCATTGAACCGGCGTTGTGACAAATCCGATTCAGTAGGAGACTTTAAGGGATTCCGGTAAGCTGTGTTCCAGCTAGACTGCTTTGTTTCATTCTACCCTTTCTTATGGAAATCAGTGGATTTGTTTGGCAAAGCCATTGTAGATTAGCACACCGATGCGGCTGCTATAAGCAATGAGCTCGGTTACAGTTCAAGCCCATCAGAGGATGCCACGGTTGTTGAAAGTTTGAAAAGTGCCACAGAACCAATTGCGAGAACTACAGCAGGGTGCCGAGCGATCTGCTTCGCCGCACTGTTCTCAATGCGCTGCTGTTTTATTTCACAACTGCATTATCCAACTTCAGTTCACGTACATACCCACACGTAGACACACGAAAAACACCTCGTCTAGTTCGCGGTTTTTTCTACACAGTAAACTTATAACGGTAGAGAATGTATCCTGGGGAAGCGGAAAGCTTTCACAACAGTGCACTCTCTGGCTTGCCACTTAGGCTGAATAAATCAATCGAATGTGTTAAGCAATATATATATATATTTATCATTGAACAATGTTCACGTCGATCAGGCTGGGTGAACAACAGTTACCAAGGTCATGCTTGTGATCAAGCTCATTGGCCCGTCATTTGTGGAAAGAGAATGATGGCCCGTGGTTTAAGGCTGCTGGAGCTAGAACAGGGGACAATATTCGCCAATAAACACCCGATCAGTACTCTCAAGAGTGCTGGTAAAATTCATCGATCACCGTTGTTTGTTCGTAACCTTTTGGCCAACCCACTTAGGCATAACTCAAAAAATAAACATGAAATCCGACGAGAGACATCTCTGACTTACTGATTGAAACCAGGTAAGAAGTTATTCCAAATTACGCTGATTATTCTATTCGGTGAAGTGTGTGGTGTGTACAGCAACTGTTACAAAGTGTCTCCAACTTAAAATTTAAAATAAAATCAGTACCGTGGATAACAGACCGTTATAGTGATGACCGAGTTTCTTGGGTGAGAATTAAAGTCAACTGGGCTTTTGAGTCGAACGGTGTGATATACCACATAACCTAGACTGTCGTGATGGAAGCGTGTGCTACTGGCGTGGTCTGCTTCAGAGCAAGTTAGCCTTTAGTTGTCGCGCTTATGACCCAGTCCACTGGCTTCAAATAAGGTGCAACTTTTGCAGATAAAAAGTTTCGATAGGCAACTGTTGAAGGAAATCATTAAAAGGAATATTACGTCCAAGTGCTGAACAAATTTTCTCTATCCACTGATTCAGAAAATCGATAAGAAACCATGACTTATCAAAAAGACAATTCCTACATACACAAAGTCCAGAATGTGGTTGCTATCTCGGAACACCAAGAATGCGGATTATATAGTAAACAGTTCGAATTTAAAACCCACCAAAATTGTGTTCAATCTATTGACGAAGCAAAATGACGCGTCAGCAACAGTATTCAATAATGTTCATGAATTATAGACAGTTATCAATCATGCCTCAAGCACTCTTGAAGTTCGGACCATTCGAAACCTGATTGAAAGTATGCCTTAGCGTTGTGGTTCAATGATAAATAATAAAGACCGGTGAGGTATGGAACCACTTGAATACACTCATCATCTTCCTGCCATAGGGTTATGAGGCACTGTGGCAGTATGTGCAGAGCTGCTAGAATAGGAAGGAGACTATGCGCGTGTGCCTGTGCGCCAAAGCTGACTGAAACCTGTCTAACGACGACCGATTGGTAGAGGTCCCCGAGGATATGTTTCAATCCTACCAATATTATTTGACTTTCCTCATTATTTATCATATGACAACCCTTCCATTAAAATCTCTCACTTTACTGAAATTTATATCATCATCTATTCAATGACGGGAAGAAAAATGAAAAAGTAGTCATGATCCGTGACTTTGTCTACTGATTGAATCTACAGTAATGACTCTGAGGGTTCGACTTCAGCTAGTTGCAAGGATCTAACAGTTACTGATACATGCATGCAAGTGTGTCAGTAACAGTAAGTGACAATTGCCGAAGTCATCTGATTAGTAAAATTGACCTCTATGCGCAAAAAAGGCCAGCTATTGAATTCCATCATCATGACCGAAATCTATGCAACCACACCGAATGACGAGCAGCTAGTGTCACCGTTATCCTCAACAGCCTATCACAGTACGGACGAGATGGCATCTCGCCCGTTTCCATACTAAACACAGAAAAACCCAAGCCGATAACCCCATCATGTTACCATCAACTTGCTTGTACAGAGAATGTTTGACAGTGAAATACATAGCACTGATGTATCATGCCACATAAGTAGCGGACATAGTACACAGATATCCTTTCAACAGAGATCAAGAATGCCGCTAGATAACTTTAACCGGCTTTTTATGTATAACCTCGTGTAGCGTAATATCACTCTACGAATCAGTCTACGAAATCAGTTAAACTATTTGCAGAATGTAAGACGAATCAATGCATCATTGATGCGACTTACCACCACAGATTTCTTAAATCTTCCCAGCTCACAAAAATTCGTATATAGATTGGTTTTTGATGTCAGAGGGAAATATAATTACTTTGTACGCTCATATTATAGATTCTTCAAGCAAGTATACGTCAATTTATGTGTCTCTAATTTGCTTTTCGCTGGGGAAGCATTTATTTACTGTCCTTTGATCGGTAATTAAGTAATTAATGTGATTTGTAGCTTGCAATTTGCAAACTAATTTATTTGGAAGGATTGCGACACCATTAGTGTACACTTTGTTGAGGGTGATTAGATAATTGGTTTCTTCAATGCATTTTAAAATTTGAGAATTTTTGCGTATTCCCTGATGGCGGTAACGTCATCAAATTATGACCCCAGGGACGTGTGTTCAAATCCCACCATAACCAGTTGACTTTTCCCTGTTGTGTGTTGTATGGCAGCCCTTTGATTGGCCGCTTCCCCCTTCCTGAAAATTGTATCCTTATGTAGTCAATAAAAGGAAGTAAAAGTAAAAAAGAAAAATAATTAGGTCTTCTCATCCATCTCATTCAAGATCGAAATTGGTGGAGGAACAAATTTCCGCACTTTTTGAGGCTTCTCCGTTCAAGCGTATCGTTTAGATTGAAAACGAAAAGGAAGATGAGAGGTGGAAGGTAAAATTCTTAGAATACCGGCAGCAGAAAGAAATGAAACTAAGCTCCGCTTCGGTTTCAGTGAATTATTACGCGAAACCCACTTCAAGCTCCTCAATAGAACGTGATATCATGAGAAAATGAACTCACTGGTAATTGAACGCCAACTGTTCGTTGTCCCAGTCATTGAGATATATGTGCCCCTCAATCCGATCCGGTTTGCTTGTGTAACGTACTAATCCGTGCAGGTTGGCATCGAACAGAACTTGATACCATTGATTGATGACCCAGTGACGTTGGAAGGTATTGATTTTCAACTGAGTCCCCATGGCTATGGATGTGCTTTATGAGGAGGAAATGGAACAAATGGAATGGAATATAGAGTTTACCAGGTAGTACAAATATTTGCTTCATTTAATTATGTATGATGTCGGTTGAGTGGTCGCGTGCTTAAGGTCACTGAAGTAACGAACTGGTTGTTTTGAATTACACCCTGCCAACCTCCGTCGCCCATCTTTCTCATTTCTATATTTCCCCAGCCTGTCTTTGTATGGCCTCGTCTCTCTTCTTGAAAAATGATTGTTCATTTGTATACTCAGTAAGCAAAACAGGGGTGAAAATCTATTTAAACTCAATGAAAACATTTGTAATGATCGATAATGAGCACTGAATAGCTGTTTCGTCCTGTTTGGAAATTGTCTCCAGTGCTTACCCCTTGTACGCCTCTCGCGGGACTTCAGCTGAGAACAGTCGGGTAGGGACTTCAAACCATTACCCCTAAGCTACACGGTTGACGGTCATCAGCTTGTGCAAATGTTTCAATCACTTTAGAGTATCATGTTTAGATTCATCCATCGGTTATTCACAGGCAGCAGCCAGTCTTGATGGTCTCACGTTTGGGTTTCAGTCCCAAGGATACCTTCAAACATTTATCATTTATTTATCAAACTATTATGACCATTTAATCCCTAAAAGGGATTCCTAGTATATGTATGTGGGAGATGGCCTATCAACGAGAACATTTAAGTGATGCTGAACCACTAAATCAAGGCGCATATATAGTGCCGTGAAAAAGCTCACTGCATGGAACTAAAGTTTAGTATAAATTGAGTGGTACGTGTGCGGTTGATATAAACAACAACGTTTTGAAATATATGAACGTTATTCCATTAGTTTTTTGCTGTCAAGCGATACCATCTGCAGCATTGCGTAATTCATCTCCGAACAGCTTTCAGGTCTCAGATCTATACTTCATCTCCCAAGAGAAAATTATCTTCATCATACCGAATAGACTCTTGGAATCTTTTTCATGTGTCCAGCTATTTCAGTGAATTAACATTATCTAATAGATATTTAACTGCTCATTAGCAGAGTTAATTTGAAGCCATTACTGGTAACTCTAAGAAGCCTGAAAGTTGTATTTTGAAATGAAGATCACCTCATATGTTAATCCAATAATTGTTCAAATGGTTCAGATTGAATTCCTATGCAGAAACTGTGAAAAGTGCAGTAGCCTCTGTGGGGTTAGAACCCGCGCATAGACGCTGCCTGCACTTTTGTACGGCGCGCGCTCTACCAGCTGAGCTACGAGGCCACACCGATAGCACTGATCTTTTCACAGTTAAAATTACCCTGTAGTTTGCAGAGGCATATGGCATCCGCCAGGTAGCCAGTGAGCTGACTGCCACGACTGGTTTTCCTTAGAAATCACCGGAGTCCGCCAAATGAACTTCTAATGCAAGGGCAATAGTTCAACTTCTTGTTTTGGGGGATTGAAGGTTTATGTTGCTCATAATTTGGCATGCAAGTAAACTACGTTAGGGGAGGTCATCAATTACTCCAGTGCGAAAACAATGGTCAATCATAAACGGGAGTAAGCTTCCAAAATGACTAATAATAGTACTTGATCCTGTAATTTGCTTGCATCTTCTGCCTATTGCTTTCATTCATGAGTTTATTGGGTGGTAGGCAGCCGTGCTGTAGTTCGGTTAAGTGTCGTGCCAATGCTACAAGGGAACTGATGTGATTCGCTACTCAAAGTATTAGTGTTTAGAATACCGGTCTCACGCGGTGATCGGTAAATCCTCGTGACTATGGGATTTACTTATAATACCAACGACCACCAATCAGTTTAGGGTAATAAGCTTGGATTAGCCCACTCGATTGTTCAGAGGCGCCAGGCACTCTTGATGGTCTTGGGCGTACCTGATGTCTCTGAACAATCGAATGGGCTAGTCGAAGCTTGATCATCTAAATTGACTGAGCCATTCTCACAAGGTGATGACTGTTCACCGTTTAGCTCAGAGGTAAGGGATTGAAGTCCCGACTGTTAGCGGTTCCAGTCCCGCGAGAAAGTACGCACTGGTGACAATTCTGAAACAGGACGNAACAGCTGTACAATGCTTTTTATCGGTTATTGCAAACATTTCCATCGCATTTGGACCAAAAATGAGCTTTAGAGTTATAGCCAGTCAATACATATATGTTTATATACCATCTACATTACATTCATTCATGTGCATACATCTTTTATTTCAGAATGAACCCAATACAACATTAGAACAGAAGTTCGAAGGCGAACAACTGCTAGTGAATGATTCACAATTGTGCCTGTACAAATAATATAAGGTTTTAATGAATGGGGGCACTTTTTCACTCTGGGTCGACAGGTCATTCGAGATGAGAAGAGGTGAGGGGTGGAGTGAGCCCTACTTGTCTGTGTTAGGGGGAGATCAATTGTGACTGGAGTGTTGGTGGTGGTTGTGATATTTGTGATTAGTTTGGAACCAGGGTAAGTGGAGAGCTTGAGTCAGTCGTTTTTGTGCGCATGGTTCTGGTGCGAAAAGGCGAATGCTTATCGCCTCAGCGGTGGCTAGTGTGTGAGCGCCTTAGGCGGGTTGGGGGCACGATAGATTACGATGAACGCTGATTCGGATCTAGTTTGATAATCTGTATTCGCTAGATGACCAAGAATGGCTCTTCATATGCTTCCTATGCCTCTTTGAGTTTACAGCAGGCATAATACTAGTGAAGGTTCATTTGGATCAGGTTAAGGGTTTACTCATTATGTGCAAATTATTTCGATCAGTAACAAAAACATGAAGGAATTTAGCGGATCTGAGTTCACATAGTGTGTAGCTTTTTAACAATTACTAGAATCCTAAAATTGCAGTGTCAGGTATTTAATCATTCCACGCCTCATTCTCCTTATCACAGTAGCCGCCGTGTTGGGTAAATGAACCTGTGATGCACTGTTACATTATGTGAAACTTTGGAGTTTACTGAACATCTTTCGGATGCAGTCTTTGTATCTGTTCCATACCCACCATGATTCAGCTATTTCAAAATGGCGCCGTTGGATTTACTTACGGTGATTATCGTATGCTGTGTTGACACAAAACTAAAAATATAATAAAAAGCTAAAACTCATGGTGCAAACCTTTTCGTCAACCGATCAATAAACGGATCAGCGTTCAACTGAATTCACGGACATACTGTACGAAAAGAAACACCGGTAGACAATGATAAAAAAGTACTCTGGAATTTACAGACTTTTCCTCTACGAAGATGGTCGCACAACTGAATTTGAAATTTAAACGAGTGACCATTTCAGCCTACATTTACATCTTTTCTTTTCCTACTTTGAAAAGATCTCACCCAACAATGGACTGAATTTCATTGAAGCCCATCATAGTGGTCGCAACAATAACAATTTGAACCAATTTAGTTTGTAAACGTCGAATCTAGTCGACTTGATTCGAAACCAACCAAGTGGAATATATCCGGTGGAAAGCCCTTAACCTATCAGGTTTCTTCTTCTTGTATGATGAAAAAATATTTCTGAAGGAGGTAGTAGAACGAAAGGAACCGTTTTTACCAGGAGAAGCTTATCATCCAGTGTACAGAGTTTGGCTTGAAACAGTGTTAATTCGCACTGGGTCAAAACTACTGGATGAATGTTATCCACAAAATACATAAAGCTATCATTTGAATCTACCATACTTTCCTGTGCATTAGAGCTAAAACATTTATTCAATAAATAAAAATAACGGAATATGGCACAACTCGATTCCCGTAATCTATTTATAAGATTCAAAGCTTACCTTGAAGTTCTGTTTAATTGACCACCATCTGGTGTCAGTGAAAATTGATTTCCGATGTCCTTCCTGGAATTTTTCAAAATCAAATATTTAATCTCTACAGGGAATCCACCAATAGTCGGTATGAATATACTGGAATCCATCACGATATGGTTGCTTTGGATAAATTGTGACTCGACCGGTTGATCTTTGGATGTATTTGAAGACACAAACAGATCCAATAGCTTTTTCAGGAAATCGTTTGCATACCATCTTTCTTGACCACCCATCCTGACAAAAGCTGTTGTCATGGGAAACAGTTTTGCCTTTTTACGAATCTGTACAGTGTATAGGGATGAGAGTGAGAATAAAGCTAGTTTATTAATTTAAGTAGAGGAACACGTCGCTCACTTAGTGTCTTTCGGCTGTTTTCGACACACCAAAGTTGAAAAATGTTGACATGGCAATTTTATGTGACCATATATCTCATAAATTTTGACAGTTCAATTTACATTAATCCAAATCAACTGAGTGATAAGAGGTATGAAATACTTGTAAATTGATCTACTTGCAAACAGTTAATCCAATCACTTACATTACAGATCACATAGTTGATCGATGGTTAGAAGTTGTAAAACAGTCTTGAAGTTAAGTACAAGCGTCTCGTCCTCCTCGTTTATCACAAGCAAGAACTAGTTTCATTGGTAGTTATTGAACCCCAAAGTGGTAAATGTTATAATAGACATGCATACACGCACACTCATATATATATATATATATCAGCGATAGGAATATTACATTTTTATTTCATACCTGACTTTCTCAATTGTTATTCGTGGTTTTACAATTTACATTTTTCAGGTTTTCTTAGTTGTATGTGTGCTTTGTTTTGTGGTTGTATAAATGTGCTTTTCAGGTAATTTTGCTTCGTGTATATCTAGTTCAAGGCCTTCATTTTCCGGGACCAATACAGCATGCGAATCAACGCTATGTGGAATTGAGTTTCGTGCCCAATACAATTACTGTTTTTCACCACACGTGTTCACAATTTGTAGCTAAAAAGAAGCTACCAGTACCAGTGCTGCGTGTTATAACGTACTATAATTGTGATTTACAGATGGATCAAGTTCGGGTTTCATTGAATAGTATTCTTGTTATCATGTGCCTAAGAACGTGTGGGTTCCCAAGCTTCGAGTTATGGCACGCACTAAGTTTTATCTGACCTCCAGTTTATAGTCCTCGTTATTTTACTGCTAATTGTGTCCAGTACTTAATTATACGGGGATGCATTTGAACTTTTTTGATCCTGGTTATGGTTCTTGGTCACCTTTGGTTTGTTCCCTTTCTCTTATATTTATCTGCTCGCGTAAAAGGGCTCATTTTCCCATAGTAAAAAAATGTGAAGCAGAGCGACTTAACTCAGAGTGGTATGCATCCTGATTGCTTTTCGTATTTTATTCGGGTGACTGACACCGCTGGATAAGGAGAAATCTCGTTTACCGTTCGACACAGAGTTTCACAGAATGAGTCAAAGACAACCATGATCCGAATGCCCCTGGTGGTCGAAAGAGGTGGAATTGGGCTTCGAAAAAGTAAAGTCCGCTTACGAAACGTGTTCCTTTGATACCGAGATTGGGGCGTTTCTCACGCGTGCATTGCACCCGAACACATCTTTATGTATTACAGGAACCACAGCTATTTCTCCCCACGTTCTGTTTTCGTCACTTGATGGAATAACCGATTAACCAACAAACAGACTGAGATTATTTATTTCTTCGGTGGTTGTGTGATTGTATAACTGTTTAGAAAAAAAATCATTGAAATCAAATTTTTACTTTTGTCGTGTGTTTTGAACCCTGCTGGTTGGTCAACCATACGCATTGCAGCATTGTCTCTAATGCCGCTCGATTGATCTGACTTCTGTATTGTAAACATTTACCTCAATACATATCCCACTTTTAGCGGTTGCGTTGTTAATTCTTTGATATCTCTGCTTCTTGTATACGAAACGTTAATTCTGTTCAACGAAAATAAAAATCATGAACCTAACTGGTGTTCGAGTTTCACTTCACATTCCGAAATAACAGGTTGTTGCGCGAATAAACCTCGATGCTTATGGCAATACAATACAGCTTTACGATAGCTGAATCTTTTTAAGCCCAAAAAAACAACTTCAAAACTTATTCACAGTTTCTTGATTCAGGCACGTACTTTTGTGAACAGACATCCGTCCCTACCGGTCGTAACTATGTCGTCAATAACTTTGAACTCAGACGAGGTAAAATATTTCCCTAACACGTATTTATGATCACTTTTCTGAAAGTGCACAGCAATCAGTTTGACAGTTAGCATAAAGACTGGTCGACATCGGCTAAATCGCACGGAAATGGATACGAAGTTGATTGGATGTTCTGCGGAACAGCGACTTTCAAACCTGAAGCACATTCGTAAGACGGAAATTCTAGGAGAAAGTGGTGAGTAAAAGAAACATTCCGAAGGGTCACATCCGTTATTACCAGAACAGATAGTCTCCTCTGAGGTGCACAATTATGTGAATTTGGCGAAAAATAGGATATTTCAGGACCAAAATGGGGGCGTTTGTCAAACAGGTGAGACCTATTGTGAACACACGTGTTTCTTAGCATGATTTATAAATTTGATCTCGTACCTATTTAGGGCATAACATTAATGGTATTGTTGAGCTGTGCTGAAATGTTCCATTCTAAGTGTAATGCGCAAAAGTGTTGACTGTGTTTAGTGAATTTCAAGTTTAAAACAACTGTTTAATATGTTGAAGAGGAAATGCGTGATTAATCCGGAGATTGAGAGGGAAATGTGGATCAAATGTCCGAAAAGTGAATAAGTAGATTATACTGTAAACCCGGATAAGAGAACAACCTATCTGTATGAAAATAACATGATTTTCTCAGAAATTTGCATGTCGATGTTTCAAACAGCAATGCTGCGTATCGATTGCCTTCACGACAGTGAAGAGGGATTTTGTGGGCAATTCGGATCAACATTTTTTCACATATATTTGATTGATAAAACATTAAGGTGTAAACTGTGGGAAAAACAACAAACTAATAAGTAAAGTGAAGCACTTGGATCGACAAGCAATCCGTGATCAGATGTGGGCGACAGGTTTTTTTCGGTCTGGGTGGTCTCGGGTTCACTTGGATCTGTATACTATAGTGCTGATCGCGATATTGAGAAAGGTCACATTAGTAATCAAACGTGACATGTGAAAAGGCAAATTAACAAAAGCGGTCTGATCAGATGGCCGGTGGGTATCATGTTTGCTTTCTAAATGTGAGGTCTCGGATTCTATTCCAATTAGGGACGGATAAGATTCCCAGCAGGTTGAAACAACCGTTCAAAGCTTCCTGGCGTTTCGATTCGCTTTTAATTTGCCCCTTACACAACGAATTGCACCACAGGAATTATTTATTGCCTAATAACTTTCATTTTACTTTTAAATTGCTCGCAAACAACGCAATCCATCTTCCAAAGACAACGAAAGCAGATAAAATCTTATCCAATTTGACTCTACGGATCGCATACAATACCAACCTGATTGAGTTCATGGTTTCTTACAGCGATTCCTCAGAAATCAATGAGTTGATGAAAATCAATACCTAGATTGAAAATGTATTGAGTAATTCTATGAATGCGGTGCATTTCCACTTCAATCATGACAACATGGCTCACGAACACAAAATGGCCACTCTTCCAGTGTTCACATATTTTACATGAATAGATGCTCACTCTTTTGGTTTTCATTAGTGAAAGTAGCTCTCACTAACTATCGCAGTGTTTGAAATGAATTACTTTTTTACACTAGCAATGCCGAAATCGCATTTCACGCTTTTCCTAGTTCAAGCCGTATGACAAGCACATCAGGTTAAAACTGTGTTTAGAGCATAGAAATCTGTCCATGATTCGCACGTGGTCTGAATGGTGTTAAGTTGAAGTTTCTTTCCAACTGTTGAATCATTGGTTCAGATAATGTGAGGTCCAGCTGAGAAAAAATAGCAGCGAAACTCTTGGTTCCTTGGTTTATTTCACTTTTTACCAAATGAGGTCCTCTTACTGCCCTTGCATTTGCATGCATCATTTGTGAACAACATCAGTGGGGTCATCCATTATGTTTTCAATTGAGTAACGCTATCTTTTCACACCTAATGTATCACCGTTTACTAATTCGGCATAATGTGTATCGATTTTTTACCTTTTCCTTCGGTTTTCTAAATGTACAACTAGTCAGTTTTTGTTCTGACGACATTCATCAATTCCTGATCTACTGATTGAGCCACCACTTCTTGGTCTTCTTGAATCGTTAAACTGAAAGAAAACAGCACCAATGGACAAAGTTCGTTTCTACACGTTTTCCCATCAGGCTTTAGCCACAACTCGCACTACTGTAGCCAGAACCCTCAAAGCTTTAGCCAAAATCCACAATCTTTTAGCCAACACCTGAAATTCTTTAGCAAAAGCAACAACCATTGATGAGTTATTAAAACTGTTTCGTCAAATAGATGCAGCAGTAAACAGCCAAGTGTGACAATTTCATGATCAATGTTGAACTGCTGAACTATACTGCCTACTATATCATAGGTTCAACCGACAAAACAGGTAATAAATAAAATTTATCTTGATAATCGGCTAGATTGACAGATCCGCAGAATAGATTATTCGTATCAATCCAATGGACCATGTCTTCTCAGTATTCTTTCGTTAGTTTGACCTCAATTCCGTGCTCAACCACAGCATAACATTTATTGAGATTTATTTAAAATGAACAAATGAGACTCCGTTCAAAATCTGGTACAGATGGAATGGGATAATGGCGCGACCTGTCTTCATCGCATTTTGCTCGTCAAACGTCACTCGGTGGATTGAACAGTCACATCCTAATCGCCAATCCCGATGTGCAGATAAACCTTTGTCACAACAGCTGTGAAATTCCCTGACAGGTTTGTCATGAACAAACTAAGTTTGATAAATGCAGCCCGTCAAGCTGCTGATTAGGAATTCCTCGGCTGAGAGAATACATCAAACGCTTTACTCCTTTTTATCAGCCATGTTTTGTGCAGAATAATAAAGTAAGCTTCCAAGTGACAGAGCCAACGGATTGAAGTGGTTTTGTGAACAACACTTACCCGAAAACGTCGTTCCAGTAATTATGGGGATCGCTCTGCATGCTTTTCTGCAGATAAACTGCAGTTTTAGAGTACAAACGAGATCTGAATGAAGGTATCAAACACCAGTATAGTTTTGGGCAGAGTAG